TTCTCGACAACGGACATAAGGGCTGATGTAGGGATTTGAACCTCGTACCTTGTAGTCCATAGACCGGGGACTGATCCACTAGACCACAACACCTCTAGATCAATGATGTTTGGTAGAAGGTGATTAATAGCTGCGTAATGATCGAGCAAGGATGGATAAAGAAAGTGAGCTGGTAGTCGCGACTCAATCGCTCCACACAAATCAACTCATATGCCCAAGTGTGAGTTGTGCTTTTAACCAAATGTTATTTCCAGAAAGTATTAGTTACATGTACTTAGCTTGTTTACACTGTCTATTTGATACTTCGCTACTCCAAACAAAGCTCATCTACTGCATGGTAAACAAACAAACAAGGATTTATTCTGATCACTCTCTTACAATAGGCAATTCCATTACCAGAACGAATGTGATTGCAAATTATCCAAGAAATCATCAAAGGGATTAAATTCCAAACCTTATTTTAAATCCAACACAAAATCCCATGAAAATCTGGTTCCTGTTACATCATATGCCACTGGAGTGTTTAAATGCACCAATGAGTGGTTGACAAGGGCTATTGAATTTGCCAGCGGTTGGTTTTGTTTAGGGTCTATGCAATCCTGTCAATCCCAGATTAGCTTTAAAGGGATCGTTTAACAATGTTAAATCTGATATGCATGGCCCTACGTGCTACCAGTGTCTGTGATATGGTGTAATATTGAAGCCCTAAACAAATTGCGCTTCAGAATGATCAAGAAGTGCCTCAAAAAAGTAAAAAACTTTGATTGACCGGTATTACTGTAGTAATTTGTAATTTCAATCATAAATATCTTGATAATCAGACAGGTGATCGGCTTGTAAATGTCATGGAGCTCCTGACTGACCTAAAGGTTTATAATTATCATTGCAGCATGAGCTAAACCCAGGATTTTTTTTAAAATCTAAGACAAAGATACCCAATCACTTTAAGCCAGTAGCACAAATCCAGTTATAAATGACTTCCTGGTCTAACCACATATGCCAATCACATATAATGAAGCCTTCTGCAGGTACCCGGTAGTAGCTTCCCACTAAACGGTGCTTTCTACAAAACCGCTTGCAAATGAAGGTTTTGTGTGCAGAACACATGCTTGACACTGCAGAAGGCAGGTGCCGTCTGTTTAGAGCGAGAAGGGCGTTGAGAGCCAGAAGGGCGTTAACTCTGTGTTCAAGGATTGTGTTAATAATGCCCTTCTGGCTCTTAATATGATATCATTTCCATCAATGTTGGACATGGTGAATTATCTGACAAATTTTCTCAGTAGGCAAAGTAAAGATGTAGTAATCGTTTACCCAAACACTTTTAATGTATCTTGATATGGTAATTTGGTGAATAATACATGTACCTCTTTACACAACATTTTGGATTCTAACAATACCGTCTACCCCAAAAAACCATCTGAAGATCAATTATTATTTAGTAAAAAAAAAATTAAAAAATGAAGGCAGTAAAAAAGGTTTCAATACAAAATACTAATGCTACATATTACAATTACAAAAATGTTGATATAATTTATACTTCTATCTACTGGTAAAATTCTCCCTGATTTTAATATTATCAATATAAAAATAAGCATTATTAAAGTTCATTCAAATATATCTGTGTCAGCAGCAGTTACACCTGGCAATGGCTATGCATTATTGTGCATGCGACACATGTCGAATGCAAGACGCCTCCCGAAACCACCGCTTTAACCCTTGAAAATCACCCCTTTATTCCTCGCAGCACCAGCCCATAAAGAGAAGACACAAATAAGATCTCTTTGGTAACTAGAGACTTAACCAGTAGACTTCGCATGAATGTTAACTCTATTTATCACTTTCGCCCGAGAGTTTATCTGAAAGTCGACACCTATGACCTTCAAGGAGAGATCTAACGCAGCGTGAACCTGAGACTAATGTCCCTTTTCTACATCTAACTCCTGCATATAATCTGCAGGTACTACCAGCCCATTCTCCCTTTTCAATTAATCACTTCAGTGGCGACACATGAGTGGAATGGAATGGAATGGTGGTGGTTATTTTACCTGACTGCTAAGAAAGCATAAATGCTTGTAGGTAAGCAACCAGACGGCCGACGGCTTTAGGTCCTCTCCGAGGGACCTGGTGATGAGAATTAATGCCTTACCAAAGGGCATTAGCGCAGTGAAATGCACCAAGAAACGGTAACCACTCTGATTAGAATTTTCTAACAGTTTACAGGAACCATCTCTGCCTCCTCAAATTGGCTTCCAAAGAAAGTATAATATACAACAACAACAACAACAACAAATCGCTAATTTGTACTTGAAAATAGAGAAACGCCTATTTGAGCATCGATTAGACTGAAAATCTGATAAATAAGCAGCGTTCACTCTGGTCTAAACGTCATAATGTACAAAAATTATGGAACTGGATAGGATTTTTTTGTGAGCATGGCAGCATGCACTACATCTCTACAAATTTTATATTTTTTAATCAGCGTTTTTTTATACGATGTTGTTTCCTAGCTGTTCACACTGTTTATTTTTCTAGTCCATACGCTCCTTTTGCTATACAATGATTCTTTAATACAGATTTTGTATGTATTTTGTTCAGTCTGAACAAGCTTATAACCTGGCCATGGGTTAAGTACCTTCATGGAAGTTTGAGTGAACGTTAACCTTGAACTTGAGACGGTTGTGTCTCAGAGAAGAGCCGATGGCCCGGTTTTTAAAGTAACCGAGAACGATGCAGCTGTTTTGGATGATAGCTGTGAGCTCATCTTCCATTAAAGCCACTCTCATCTTTTTTTAGGTGATATATGTTGGCGATTCGCTCGCTTAATCACTTTCCATAAGAAACAAGAAGCCCCGACAAGCGTATACAACTTCATATCGTCACCACAACATTTGGAAATGTTTAACCAGAGCCATACAGCTGAAATGACGCCCAAATTGACAGATTATTAATGGTCAAAATCTCGTCCATTCGGAATGATATAAAAGTTTACTCTATATATTTCATGTTAGTTTATTTGTAGAGCTGTTTGACTTCAAACAGCTTTGTATTTTTGTATTTTTCAGGGTTTTTTTTCTTTTAATTTTTGAAAGATCCTACACCAAAATTAGTCACATGCTTGTCAAGAATCAGTTAAGAATTGGTTGATGATTATTTGCAACAGTGTACATTAGTTCCAACCAATAATATTTGATCTTTTGTAGGGTACGTTGTCAGTCTGTGGTTTGTCTGGTGTTGGTCTGTTGTCTGTCTTGTCGGTATGACTGGGGTATTAACATTAGGAAGACACTCTTGGTAATAGAACACTTGGTAATAAAACTCATAACGTAACAGCATCTACATAACTCTTTAATATCCAAAGTGGAATGCTAAACCGCAGCTAACAAGACTACAAAGAGGAGAACCCACAGACCACTTCTCTTTAATTGCTCTTCTAATGGCCTGAGCTGAACACTTGAGGATTTAATGAGTTTGCACTGGGGAGAAAATGGATACTGACAATTTTTTCTCGTAAGGAAAATTAGGTTTCCGCATACAGTGAAATAACTAGAAGCAGGATCTCTGCATGTTAAAGTATCCTTTCAATTGATGTTTTGAAGAGTGGATAAACTCACTGACTTGTCTCAGTTATTTCAGAACTGCATGTCGTAGTAAAAAATCTTAACCATTTTTTGTCTTACCATAGGCAGCGGCACCTTGATTTATTGTAATCTAGTGAAGAACATAGTTTTTCAATTTTTGCCTTTATCTCATTTTAAATTTGTTTGTTTTTCATAAAACAGAGTGGGAGAAAAATACCTCAGCTGTCCTTTGTGTTGTAACCATTCAATCATGAAACTGCACTGCATTTTTGTTCTATTTATAGATTCAAATTAGTGACACCACTTTTAAAGTTTAACTTACCGCTGCATAACAATCAGGGCTGGAAACACATCAATGGATGCATGCGCTACTTGATTACAAAACGGCAATTCAGCCTTAAAACAAATTACACAAAAAATCAGATAGTAGGACAGCCACTTCAACCACCCATCACCATTGTTCTCATCAGCCAGACAATTTATTCTGAATATATTCAAGAAAAGTTACACAATTGGAGACCAAGGTAAACGAACGAGAGAGGATTCCAAGACAGCGAATGAAAGTGACACTCATACATATGGAAGATGTGGTCCGGGGAAACTGAGTTTACGTTCCTAATCACGTTTATGGTCCGCTCAAGCAGGATTTGCTTACGCAAATTGCACGCCACATGCGGGCTCGCCTCTCGGTTGGCGGCATATCGGGTTTGTGCTCATGAAAGTCATGCGAAGTAGAGAGGGATTTGAAAACAAAACGGTCAGGAGACGAGACGTGAGTGACGTAAGAAAAGATGAGGAGGGATGGATAGAAGGTTTTGAAGCCTTTCATCAGCGAGACAATTTATTCTGAATATATTCAAGAAAAGTTACACAATTTGGAGACCAACGCAAATGAACAGGAGAGGATTCCAAGACAGCAAAAAGACGTGATTGACGTAAGAAAAGATAAGGAGGGATGGATAGAAGGTTTTGAAGCCTTTCAGACTCTTTCAAAGTTAGCTTTGAAGGGAGATGGAGTGTATCACAGCTGAAAGCTAGATGGGATTTAATAATCTGGTACAAACTGAGATAAATTACAACCTTCCGGATCTGATTGGATATATTAATGATACATATAGGTCACTGAAAATACAGCAGAAGTGGTTTAATATGGCAAAGATTGATGATGATGATGATAATGATGATGATGATGATGATAATGATGACGAGTATGATGACAAGTAGTGTGATGAGTGAAAGTAAATAAGGATGATGGCAAAAATGACGATTGTAATGATGTAAATTGGCAAAGAAAAAAAGGTATCGAGAAAAGCAGAGAAACGTTTAGCTCTGGAACACTTTTAACCCATTAGCAAATAGAGATTTTGTCAAAATTCCCTATTACTCCCTGGATACCAATCATGTATGATTTCAGCAACTTACCAATTAATCCACATCAATTATTGACAGTAGAAAATGCTCCACTTGCATCCAGATCAGGTTGACATCGATCCTATATGCAAAAGAAAAAGAAAGAAACAGGTTTTACAAAATAGAGGACCGGTATCGAGAGAGAAACTTGGTCATGCAACTGTTTGACATATCTAGATGAAAATAAAATTGTAATAAAGGGAATGAAATCACTATACTTCATCAATAAATTTATCATTTATGTCCAAGGATCCTAATATTAAAATGCTTTTCACTTGAAAGAGGTTGTGTGTTTAGTTTATTTTCTTTAATAACATTTTCAATGCACTTTTGATAACTCATTCAGGTGATTTTTTTTTAAAATCAAACCAGACCTTCTGTTAACCCTCTTAATGCTACAAACTCCAAATCACATTGCTTTTATACACACAATTTCCATCTACAGCACTTTCATGATGAACACTCAAAAGGCGTCAAAGGGGTGCCTTCAAATGCTATGTCAGTACGCCGCTGAGCAGACTGTTCGATAAACATACAGCCAACTCATCAGTGTGCCAATAATCAATAGAAAAAACAGAGATCAGGCAGAATTCTATTAAAGGGCAGGCACAGGGGGCAAGCATGCCTCCATTTCAGTCCCATTTTGAATAAATCAAACCCTTTAGAAAAGGACGGCAGACATAATTTTGACATTTGGGTCAAAGGGTGACTCAGTGGAAAGGGGGATAGAGGTGGAGGTGTGGTGAGCATCTTTTGGATATGAAAAGGCTCCAACCTATAATGTGGAAGTGGAAATGCAGATGGAGACGATGAGAGCACCATTTGGATAGGAAAAGTCTCCAAATCTATATGTGGAAATGAAGGTGGAGATATAATGCAAGTACCTTTTGGATATGAAAAGGCTCCAACTTATAATGTGGAAATGGGGATAGAGGTATTGTGAGCATCTTTTGGATATGAAAAGGCTCTAACTTATAATGTGGAAATTGGGATAGAGGTGTTTTGAGCATCTTTTGGATATGAAAAGGCTCCAACCTATAATGTGGAACTTGAAATGCAGATGGAGACATTTGGATAGTAAAAGTCTCCAAATCGGTATGAGGAAATGAAGGTGGAGATAATGCACGCAACTTTTAGATATAAAAGTCTCTAACCTAAACAGTTAAGTTGTGATGGGAGGTGATTTGGGTACCTTTGGATACATGAAAAGTCTCCAACCCATATGTCAGGATACGAGTTGGAGACAATGCAAGCACCTTCTAGGTATATGCAAAGTTTCAATTGTATATATGTCAAAATGAAGGTGGAGAAAATATGAGCACCATTTTAATAGGAAAGGGCTCAATAGAGAAACGAAGATGGATGCATTTTGAGTACCTTTTGGGATAGGAAAAGGCTCCAACCTATACATTAAACTGTTGATAGAGCTAGTGTGAGCACCTTTTGGGCATAAAAAGGCTTGAAGGAAAAAGCCACCTATATTTGATTCAGCTCCGGATATTTTTTTCTTCTTCTTTTTCGTGCTCCAATGCAGAACATGACTCATTCGAGCAAATTATGTTCACCTCATGTACTTCTATATGTGACCTTATCGAGAAATTGATGACAAGCACCGACCGGTTGTATTTTAAAAACTCTGTATGCCTGGCAATGGCAGGGCTGCCATGTTGTAACCTGTCAAATTAGGGGGTGTAGTTTAGGGTAGAATGAATTTGTTCATAATCATATTCAATAAATTTCACCTACACTGTTTGTTATGTACCATTTTGTTCCAGGTACTGCAGAAATTAAAATTTCTAGTGAAAAAAAAGTGCAAAATTTGTCTCGGGTGAATTCACATGACTTAAATACTACTGGTCTGAGGTCACTAGGTTTCTGAGCCCATTTTGCTTTTTCTTCCTTTAAGAAAGCTTGAAATCTCTTGAAATTTAAATTTAATTAATCACATGAAAAATCAATCCTTGATCAGTAAGAATTTTCATACGAAATGCTGTTGTAAATTCTTCAACAATCGGATTGCAGTCGGATCCCCTAGTGTGCACTGGGCCTTGCATCTTAAAGTACGAAAGTTATCTGCTCCAAAGTAATAAGTAAGGAACAGTCTGATCTTCCAAATAGTATTCTAAAAATAGAAACCTTTTGACAAATGAATTTTCAGAAAACTTGGCACTCGAAACACTATGCTATCAATTATAGTAATGTGACAAATATGAATGAAAATATGAAAGAAGAAGATGAATGGGTGTATAGCGAATTTCGGCAGGTGGTTTGGTTCATGGCAATTCTCATCATCAATCAGACTAAGCATTTCTGCGAGCAACGAGGATCAGTGCAAAGATCTTATTTCCTTTAACAATGAACCATCGTTTCAGATACAGAATGTAAGCCAGTAAGAGTAACATAAGTGCTTTTAAATCAAAGGCCCCCCCCCCCCAACAAAACTGCATTTAAAGGGAAAGTTCAGCCTAAAACTAAGTCGGTTACTTGATTATATATAAAGAAATACAATTAGCAAAACTGATCGGAGGAGGTTTAGGGAAAATCTGATAGAGAATATAAAAGTAAAGAATCTTTAAATTTGTAATCAATCAAAACAAGTTGGCAACTCCGTGGAATGCCTTTAAAGAATCTCTCCCCATTTGCTTTGGTGAAAATTCCATAAATTTGCATTTTTCATGGTCACTGACGAAGGAAGGTACTCTAAAATGCAGGTCACTAAGTTGCCAATTTGTGTTTGATCAATTTACACTTTATGAATGCATCACTTTATTATCGTTTCTTGAATATTCTTAAAACTTTCACTAATCTACTAGTCTTGATTCTTTGCTGATGTTGAAGCCAACTTATGCCACAATGGACTTCCCATTTTATTTAAGTTCGGAAATGTGAGAATGCACCAAATATATCAGTGCTAAAAGATACACAAACTCCAGATACATTATCAGCTCACGGTCCATAGACACACAGTATGAAAATGTTCTCAACATGCATGTCCAATAAAATAATACACAGCAGGACACCTTCGCAAACACATACACCGAGATCAACAGTGTGAACATTGTCATGGCAACAGTCCACCTCCTCTGATGCAGAGGTGAAGTGTGCCAGGGTCAATGGCAAGGTCAAGGATCATAATGCAAGGGTGCTGCTGGATCATTAATACCACCCTCCACTTTAAGAGTCAAGGAAGTTGTTCAGGTGATATAGATTATTCTTTCACTCTAGTTCAAGGTTACAATGGTCTTACAACATAACCTCTACCCTAACATTAACCTTAACACTAAAATTAACCTTTGGTCCCATGACCATGTTGAAATTACCAAAAGTGGTATTGTACAGGAAATGACAGCATAGAAAGAGCAATTCTTTGGTAGGCCTATGTTATTGGCTCACGGCCTGTACACACGCAAGATGATATGCTCTCAGCACGTCCCATGAAATCATTCTAATACCTAGCAGGCCATGCATGGCAAACATGGAGATCGATGGTGTGAACATTGTCATGGTAACAGTCTACCTCCTCAGAAGCAAAGGTGAACAGTGCCAGGTCACTTGCAAGGTTAAGCATCGTAACGCAAGGGTGCTGCGCTGGTTCATACTACCCATCACATCACTGGAGTCGTTCCTGTTCTAAAGATTACCCTCTTTAGTCCCAAGTCCCAATTGTCCTAATGAAATCTAATGCTAACCTCTATACTAACCTCAGCTTAACACTAGCCTCAACCTCACAGCGGAAGTCGCGATCAATCAAACACAAATTTGCAACACAGTGATGTATCTTGCGTGCTCCTCTCCAAATGGCTATGTTCAGAAAATTGCATGAACTTTTATTTTCTTAGTTATTGATGACGGTATTGTTTCATACAGGGGTTGTATGTAAAAACTATATTTGCAATGAATACTTTTAGGGTAAATGACTGCTGCATGTACATGTATGTGTCCCCCCCCCCCAAGAGATGCCATAAAGGTAGGCCACTTTGGATTTCCTGGCCCTCCATTTGGGCAACCTAAAATGATCTCGGACTATTCCCAACATAGAGATTGTGCTAGCTCTTGTAATGAGATCAGAGTCTGGACTATCTTGACATCCCTGCAAAATGAAAGGGCACCAACCTCTAATCAATTTGAGTGTGACTAGAATGCATGAAAGTAACCTCAAAAACTTTACCCAGCATTCTAGGGGCTAGCGGATAAAGAATATAAAGAAAATTAGGAATAACATTAGGAATTAGGATCCCTGCACAAGGAACCCATATGGCGTGTTGAGAATTCTACCCACAAGCTGCTTTTATGAGTACAGAGAGTGCACTAAAATATGCAATAATCTCTTTGTAGAAAAAATATTTAAAGCTCAAATTTGTAAATAAGAGTGCAGTGGCATGAGACCCCTTACATTTAAAGCCCCACTGCACTACTTATAGCTACTTGCGCCCTCTATAGAGCAAACAGTGCCTAATCGGTGCCTGTTGGTCCCATATGATCCCTTTTTCTTATGTTAATTGAGAGCTGATTTGATGAGATAACCACCTGTCAGTGACCTTGCAGGGAGGTCTAACCCCCCCCCCCCCCCCCTGGCCAAACTAGGGCAGACGGGCTTTACTACATGAAGAGCAAACTATTTTTTGATGAATGGTGCCCTTTAATCAATGTCTTCCAATCAATCCTCTTTCATTTTATCCTCTAAACCACATCCTCCCCGCAACATAATTGTCCATGCACTCCGAGCGCACGTAAGCTCCGAACCGAAGGTCTCTTTCAAACGACCTAAAGCCAAACACACCTCTAACGGTTCAATATAGCAGGTGTCAAAAGCATTTACCTCCCTTCATTACCTTCCAAAACCACTTTTTAAAACCCACGTATCAACGTCAATTACAAGCCTTTCATCCTAAGGTGGCCCAAGGTGGCAAGCGATTCCGCAAACAACGGTGAACGAGGACGACCAGAAATGCAGAAGTAAAGGATAGCATCAGACTAATGGATAGATCTACGCATGATAAACATTATCTTTGATATATGAACTCTGATCGATACGTATATAACAATTGATGGATGTAGGCCAACTTAGTAGAACTGTAGAAA